TTGTTTCTCGCATCTTTGTATCGCTGGTATGGTATGTGTATCTCCCTCCTTGTGTTCCAATTTCTCTTCCTGACCTTGAGCACATTTTAGACTCGCTACCAGAGCCTGTGCTCTTCTTTGGTGATTTTAACTGTCATAATGCTCTCTGGGTTGATATCCTTACAAATTCCCAAGGCATTGTTCTGGAACGTCTTGTCCTCTCTTCTTCACCTCTCAATAACAGTGAGCCGACTCATGTCAACTCTCGCACTTGCACTCTCTCTTGCATTGACCTTTCTCTCTGCTGCTGTTGCTCCATCTATTTGGACCTGGCATGGAGAGTCCTTGATCACCTCCATAACAGTGACCATTTTCCCATCCTTATATCCTTTTTCTTCTACCCTTCTCTCTTCCCTTTGATGGCAGTTTGATAAGGTGGTCCGAAATCTCTGCAGTCCATGCTGCTCTTCGCTGCCCATCTGGAGTGTCTCCTCCGCCATAACACCATAATAGATGCTGCTCTCAGCTGTGTCCTTCACTATGTCTCCTGGGGTACATGGAGATGTCCCTTGGTGGAATGCGAACTGTGCTCGGGCTGTGCACTGTACGCCAGCAGTGTAGAAGAGGTAACATCCCTGAAATATGCCAGAATTATTTCTTTTGTTTATGAAGGCGAATGCAGCGGCATGTAGAGCTATCTGTACAGCTAAGCGTGAATATAGGTCTTATGTCATCACACTCACAGTTGATACTCTTCTTCTCCCTCGCATCTGGAAGATGGTCCATAAGATTGCAGGGAAATTTGTTCTGGACTTGTTACCCATCCTTCACCTCTGATTTGGTTATGGCAGTCCCTTACCTGGAGAGGGTCTCAGGTCTCCTCAAGTCCAGCCTGAGGCCAGGCTTAACTTAGTCCAACAGGATGTTGCTTGCAGCTGCCTTTGTTCTGGCAATATTTCTAATGCTTGCTGGGAGAGTATTTAACAGCTGTGGATCTCTGATGTTCACAACACACTCACACAGCACCGCTCCTGTGCCAGGTAAGTCCACTACGGGCTCACCATAGCCCGTGCTACTTGCCCCGCTCCTGTCCCAGGTAAGTTACGGGCTCATCATAGCCCGTGCTACTTGGAACTTGGTCCGAGTAGCTGAATCTATAACAACAACACAATCTGATGTTCAGACAGTGTTCTCTGATTGTGCCTATGGACCAATACTCCTTACTGGTTCTATTCTACATTTCCTTCCGTACCTTTTGCTCCAGTAATTTGTCATTCTACTGTGCAAATTTATGACTTGGCGAAATTGGTAATTGGTACTGGTGAAATTGATACTTGGTACAGTATCTTCCATCCCGGATGCTGATTGCAAACAAACTTGGCTCGCATTTTTCATCCATTAGCTCCAGTGCTCTTCTTCCTTCTTCTTTCGTTACCCCTAAACCCATTCTTGAGTCTCGCCCCTTAAATTTCAATACTTGCCTCCATCTATAGGATGCTCTGTCATCTTCCTTTGTGCTCTTTGCAATATCTGCCATGAATCTTTAATGATATCTGGGCATCATCTTCTATCATTGATGGCTTGCTCGAGGCTGCTGTTCTTCCTATTAAGAAGCCATGTACTTGGGGATCTTCCCTAAGGAGTTTCATCCCATTGCCTGAAGTTTCATTTGCAAACTCTCGAGTGCATGGTTAGCCTTTGGAGGGCATAAATGCTGTGTATGACTTTGGTCTACTGGCTGGAGGGTGCATATCATATATACAGTATATAATTTAGAAATTTAAGGTATTAAAAAATAGTCCTGCATATACACAGGGCTCACAGTTGCTTCTTCAGGCCTCCAGTAACCATCCCCCATCTTGAACAAAATCCAGTCCATCGCTTTCCTTTTAGGACCCTAAAAACAAAAAATTACCTTTTTTGGCCACATCACCATCCAGGGCACCTTAAGGCAGCCATAGAGGAGACACTAAATTTTTAACAGCAGCAAATGAGTGATTACCAAGTATATATTTCAGGCAAAATGTGTGCTATGTGCAATTTCAAGATTTAGGCTTAATATTTAACTATTTATTTATTAGCATGAATGAATACATTGTGTCCTATATTTATACATGTACAGTACTGCATCTAAACATACTTATATTTTCAAAGTTATACATAATGAAGACTACCTTTGACACATTAATGCAACCTATTAGCACAAAAGACTAAATAGAGAACGTGAGACAATTAAAATAAATTGACAGTTTTTCTCGTGCGGCACCTCGCCTCATTTCTTAAAAAAAAAAAAAAAAATTACCTTGTGGTTTATCTGTAGTGGTCTGGATGAGTCTTTTTACTTTTTTTTGTGCTTCCTGGAGGCTAATTAACGTAAAGAAAAAAAATATTTTTCCAGAAATTTTGTTTTTCTTGCACATGGGGATGTCAGCATTTAACAGTTGTGCTATTTATGGGTTAATTTCCATCACGTGTGGTTTCTGGAACATCATGGCAGCCTTTCTCGCTCCCACTATCTTCGCTATCTTGCACGGTCCTTACAACATCCTTCCTCTCGCCTCTGTTGTGCTTTAACTTTTACTCCTGTAGCTCCTGTTCCTCTTCATCGTCTCCCTCTTTCTGTCCGGTTATCTCGCTTACAAGATTCTCTTTCTGTTCATATTTCTAATGTTTCTCCTCATATTGTTCCTTCCTTCCTTGCCTCCATGGAGAGTCCTCCTTCCCAAGTTTTGTACGTCCTTGACTTGTATTACTAAAGCCTTTACCCCTCCTACGATTCTGAAAAGCAGCTTTTTTTTTCATCCTTGAGCACTTTTCTTCGCACTCACACTCTATTTCCATCTTCACCGATGGGTCTAAGTCTGCGGACGGTGTGGGCTACTCTGTTGTTTTTCCTGACCGCACTTATATGTGTCGCCTCCCTTCGGAGGCTAGCGTCTTTACAGCAGAACTTTTTGCTATTCTCTATGCTCTCCTGCTTTCTCATTGTCATTCCTCCTTTGTGGTTGTAGTTGACTCTCGTAGTGCCCTCATGGCTCTAGGGTCCTTTAATCCTGTCCATCCGGTGGTCATCGAGATTCAACATTGGTAGTTTCTTATTTCCAGTAAATTTAAATCAGTAGAGCTTTGCTGGGTTCCCAGCCATATTGGTGTTTCTTTCAATGAGCGTGCGGATGCTGCCGCTAAGGAAGCTATCCATTCTTGTCCCATCTCCCATAAAGGTATTCCTTATTCCGACTTTTATCCTGTTATTCATTCCTCCATCCTTGCCCGTTGGCAGGGTCGTTGGTCTTCTGTAGTCAGTAACAAGCTGCGTACTCTCAAACGTAGTGTGTCTCCATGGCCTTCCTCCTACGACCGTAACCGGCGGTGGGAAACTGCTTAGGCAACGGCTGCGGGTTGGCCATACTCGCTTAACTCACGGTCACTTAATGGAGCGCCACCCTGCTCCTTATTGTCTGAATTGCGTTGTACCTCTTACAGTTGTGCATAATCTTGTTGAATGTCCTGACTTTCAGGACGAGCGTGTGTCTTGCTTTCCGACCGTCCCTCGCGGTCACTTGTCCCTCGATAGAATTCTAGGTGAATCGAATACTTTTGATATCGTTCGCCTTATGCGTTTTTGTTCTCGTATTGGCATTCTTGGTGATATTTAGCGCCCTCTGATTATTTCGCACTTTGATGGTGCTACATAGCCTTCCCGGTCTGGTGTCTTCTTTTGATAATTACCTTACCTTACATTTCTCGCTCCCACTTTATTTTTCACAAAGGTCACTGCACAACGAATATTTTGGCAGACTTGGAGGGGCTACATCCATATTGCCTTTGTTGTGAATTTTTATGGTGGCAGTTCCTTTTGCCCTGGAAAAAGCTTAAGATACCACCTTGAGGTACAATTTCTTGCCCAACTACATTCCTGTTCTTCAAAGCTTTCTCTCCCATCACTTATTCACACAAGGGTTGGTATGGCTTATTCTAACTTCTTTCAACAGTTTGAAGGTGTCCCCCCCCAAGGTAGACTTCTGAGCACTATATTTTTGGTTGCCCTGAATGGTCTTCCATCCTCCTAGCATTTTCTCGGCCATTTATGTTGATGCTCTCATGGTGATGACCCCTCTTCCCTCCAGTGTCAGCTTCAATTCGCAAATGATAACATGTTGTCTTGGGTCACCAATCATGGCTTCAAGTTTTCTACATCTAAGACATGTGCTATGACATTTACCTGGTGGCATGTCATTCGTTATCCCCAGTTGTTGCTCTATGGTTGTCCCCTTGTGTATAAGGTCACTGCAAAACTCTTAGGGTTGATCTTTGACACTTGTATGTCTTGGACGCCCCCATGCTGCTCACCTCCGTGTCACCTGTTTTATGGTCCTTATTAAAGGTCTTGTCCCATAAATTCTTGGGGGTGACAATTACAGGATAATTTATTTGCACTCCTCCTCTTGTCCTGTCTAAACTCTCTTATGCTCCCACTGTCTATTCCTCAATCTCTCCCTCAGCCTTTCATTATCTTGAAGCTCATGCTGGGCTCCGCCTCAGCTCTGGTGCCTTTTGTTCATCCCCGGCCCATAGCTCGTATGTTGACATTATCATCATGATTGTTTCAAACCCCTGACTAACGTTGATCTTCAACTTAGTAAATTTATGCAAAACCTCACACCATTCCTCCTAAGCCAGTTAGCTAGCCCTCAGATCAGAGGTTTAACTTGAAAAGAATCTACTAAATCTTACTTTTTGAAAAGAAAAACAAATACATTTTACTTAACCTTCCAGGTGTCAAGTTATGAATCCTGCACTGCTCATAAAATATACAATGCACTCATAAATTAGACAATACATTTCCCATAAATCCAGCAAAAAAACTACAAATGGTTGAGGGTGCCAAACTTTTTCACTGGATCAGAAGTACACCATATCTTCTTTTCATATGCTTCATGGGGTAGCCTTACAGCCATTTTACATGCATTAATTGCCCCCCTTGTGCTGCTGGTTATATTTAAATAAAGCTTCAGCTCTGGTCATGTTCTTAATGAGTTTAATAGTCAAGATAATAGCACACACATTACCCATAAGACAAGAATGGAACCCAGAAAGGGATTTGTTGTGACCAGAAAAGGAAATGATACAATACGATCATTTAGATGATAGCATTCCCGAGTCTTTGCTGCAAAATTCTCAATGTGCTAATTTTGGATGCATCTGTACAGCCTTAGATGATTGCAACAAGCAAGTGATTTGTTTTTCAAAGGTGACACTTTATGCTGAGGTGTTTGTACTGAGGTCATGTCAATGCCAGCAATGATAATCTTGTGGTCATGTTTGGCTCCTGCCTGCTTACTGCGGGGCGATGTTCGTTTTTTATATCAAATTCATCCTGAAGTCTATTTTTATCTGCATATAAAGATGCACCTCCATGAAAGTACATCTTTTGCTGCAATCCAAGCAATGATCTCATTTGTATCACCCTTAAATCACAAGTTGGTGCAGGTTTTGCCAAGCTTCATTCAGGTCTTCCTTGTGCTTTATGATAATTTCCATCTCTGGGTGTCCGTCTGCCATCAACTTCTCAGCAAGCGTGTTGATTTCTGTGACACGGTATTCTTGTGCAGCAATATCTTTTGAGAATTCTTCACACTTAAGGTAGAAGTCTTCCTCGTGTTCTAGATCACCAAATTCTTCCGAGGTAACTTGCGTTTCCTTCTCAATGATCCAGTTCATTACTTCATCACACTGGGACTTGAACTGCACCAACACTAGAGTGTGTTGGAGATGCATGCTTTTGTCTGCTAGGTTACTTAGCAGTAACTTCCACAGGCGATTCAGTTCATCTGAGGAAATAAAAATTAAATAAGATCATTTGTTTTAAAAAGAGTAAGTCTTACAACAAAAGTAAATCTTTACTGAACCTAAAACTTCCTCTCCTCCGTGTACAATATTTGTATAACATTCAGTGAATCACTTTTGTCCTCGCCAATCTTTTCTCAGCCCAATAAATGTCATTTTTAACTTTTTTTTTATGTTTTCTTATAACCTTCCATATAATAATTCTGATAATACCTTTATTTTAGATCAACTGCTTTTTGTGTAACTTATAATCAGCTATTTCCCCTCTTTCAATAATATTCACCACACATCCCTAGGATATTTAACAAGCATCATCTTGTATCTATCCCATTTTTGTCATCTTTTAAAACCTTTCTCCACTTCCTTCTGAATTTTAATGTTCCTTCCACAACTTATTGTAGTACAAAATATCATTAAGGAGATGACTAAAAGATTTAGTTTCAAGCTACATATACCTGCACAACTACATCCAAGGAATAGTGCATGAAAGTATATTGAAAGAAAATTGGGTCAGACTTAAACTGAAATTACTATACCTAATTTAGGCCTGATGATATCTGAAGCAAAATGCTGTTGGTCAATCATTTTAGTGCCAGTCTTATCCAGAATGACAATGGTACTTGAACGGGCTGTCACGTTTACTTCCATAGCTTTGAGTATCTTAATCTTTGCTTGGAGACTGGTGGGATCTTCGGAACTCTCATCTGAGACAACCTGCAGTTTCTCATGGATCCATGACTCAAGTTCATCAGCATCACGTTTGAAATACTAATAAAGGAGACAAAAGTAAAAATAAATATTTCCTTAATAATATAGCAGTCTTCATCATATAGGGATTTTAAAATATATACTGTAAATCACTCAATTAAAAATAATATTACTTTATACAGTAGTATAGTACTGCAGTATATTGCATTTTAACTTAACTACCCTGACTTTCAAATTCTTGTTCGAATTAGGCCTTAAAGTTATAAGGGAGAGAGGTGGCTTCCACAACTTCCCATTTTAGAGCATTCCACTTGTTGGTTATCCATACAAGGTACGAGTACTTCTTTATGTCACTTCAGCTCAATTGCATTTCCAGCTTCCACCTGTGTTCTTGTCCTTTCTCTCAATCTGAAGAGACTATCCTTGTCCAACTTATTGCACTGCTTTCTCTCACATCCTAGGATTTATGATGAAAAATACAAAACATCCTTTCAATATGTCGCCTCAAGATACAAAAAGGAAGTATTGTTGTGCTAATTACTCATCAGAAATGAGAGTTCATTAAGTAGGTTGAATGTGGTATCTCTAGGAGGCCCGCTGTCTTATCCTCAAAATTCACAACTTAACCATAAGCTACATGAAACCAATATTTTGTTAAAGATTGACTTGGCTCATGTTCTCAACCAGATACAGATACCTGTAGAACTTGTTGACATTCCCAAAACTGATACAACCTTGCCCTTTGGTATGTTCAGTTTATCTGTATGCCCATCAGGTTTTATAACACTGTCCAGGCTTTCTAGTGTTTCATCAACTAGGCTATCTGGTGGCCAGCCATTCTCCAGTGGAACAAGTGCAGCACCTTTGTTTGCTCCTCAGCTGTCTTTGAGATTACAATCCCCCCATATTAAATCCATGAAATCCATTTAAAAATGCTCCAAAGCTCAGTTTTCTGGAATACTCCAATTCAGTTGCAGCCATTTGACCTCTGGAGGAGTTAATTGAGGTTATCAAAGAGTTGCCATGCTCACTGTCACTGAGAAAGTTGCAACAGTTCCCGATTGTTGTAAACTTATATCATTATTTCATTCCATACTGCTCAAATACCCTCTGACACCTATACAACCTCCAGCATGGACCTCTTTTGATGTAGGCCTCATTTCCAGAGACACCCTTTCCTAACAAAAGCAATTAATCACCAAGCTCACTCTGCATATCCACTTCATGTTTTGATACACCCACTAGTCTCTCCACTGATGTCTCATATACCACCATGAGGGCAATCTTGAATCAATAGTGCCTAACAATCCACTGTCTTGCTCAGCTCATTTACCTGAGGGTCTCTAATACTACTGGCCTCGATGAGGACAGGAAGTCGGTGGCTTGTCAAAGGTCCCCCATTTGCCCTGATGATCTTTTCCAGCTGTATTTTAAAACCCAGCAGAGTTTTGGCATTTATGGTTTTGGTGGGTAGGCAGTTCCATGGGTTTACAACCTTATGGGTGAAAAAATATTGCCTTCTTTCAGTCCTACATTGTGGCTTGTTGAACTTGAACATGTTGCTCCTTGTTCATGTTATATCTGACATTTTGAAGACATTGTCCAGATCAACATCCTTCAAATTGTTCAGTATTTTAAAGGTTTTGATGAGATCTGCCCTGTCATGCCTTGTTTGCAGTGTTGTTATCCCTGTGGCCCTCAACTATTCCTAATACAAGCAATGACTACGCTCTGTGATGATTTTTGTTGCCCGGTGTTGCACCTTTTCTAGACCAGGTATGTCTTTCTGAAGATGAGGTTTCCATGCAATTTTAGTGAATGATAGCTTCTGACTCCAAGGCCCTTTTCTTCATCAATCTGTTGTAAGGTAGTGGTGGTAATTTGGAAGTTATGACATGGATTGTTATGCTCCACATGCAAGGTCTTGCAGTTATTGACATTAAAAAGCATTTGCCCGTCATCTGATCATTTGTAGAGTTCATGTAGATCTCTTTGTAAGGTCTCAAAATCACTTTCACTTCTCACTTTACCATAGATCTTAGTGTCATGGAGATCTTCTCGCCATTTAAGCTACTATCCACACCGCCTGCTGAGTCTGCTGACCTGAGAGGCCTGTGGTCAAGGACTGAGCCGTGGGGACATTGAGCTCCAAAATTATCGCAAGGTAACCTGCCACTTTCCTGAGAACAAGAACTTCCACCAAATGAAGAGCTGCTGATGAATGCTATGGCCACCAAGATCATCTCATGTTCTGCACATCACCCAAAACCTGTGACCTGTTTTGTCACAGAACTTAACTTTGAATCTATTTTTTGTTCTTATTTTTTACCAAAATGAAACATTTAATGAAGCCTATCAAGCTGAAATTAAAAAAAACATATTCTTACTTGAAATTTCAGCGAGTCTTCCAGCTTCTCCCTCTTCAGACGTGCTTCAGAACGGAACTGCGCATATCTAGAGAGTACCTGGTCACGGAGGACCTGGATGTCTTCAGCTGTCTCTAGGAGTCGCACTTCATTAACAACATTGCCCTCCATTTTGGTTAATGTAAAACTTGCTCGTTTGACAGTGGTTTCTCAAAACTAGGTGTAAAGCAATTTCTCTTGCTTATCACTTTATATACAGTCCTGGTTCTCATACAAATGGGAAGTCCACAATAGTGGCTTAGTTAAAGATGTCAAAGAACCAGATCTGAAAAAATTATTAGAGTACAGCAGCTGCACAGTGACAACAAATTTATAATACACTGCTGTAAGGTCCCATATATTTTCCCTACACTTCATACAACTTACAGATACACGAGAAACACACATTTTGGAGAAGCAAATAGTTTGGAGAAGCAAATTTGAACAACAGTTTGGTCTGTCTTGGTCCATTATCCACATGCATGTCTAGGACAGACTGACACTGTCCAAATTTTATCTTTTATTATATGGCTTGGTTTGCATTTCTTTTAGACATTGTGTAGTATTGTAATTTATTTTCCATAACTTACAAAAGAAAAGCATCATGGCTATTTTCATCTTAGAATGACTCCTGTAATTATTTAAGCAATTACAGAACAATGACAACTTTTAAATTTAGGCCACACTGCAGTATATCAACTGCCTTAACACCTTCGTACTTGCACGTGATTGGTGCACGCACCTTGTCTCACTGCCGACGTTGTCATTAGTTCCACAACCTTCTGCTAGAGGGCAATACTGTACGGTCGAGAAGAGGAGTTGGCTTTTTTTTTTTTAAATAATGCCCAAAAAATTGTCATTGGATCAGCAGTTCATAATTCCAGATTCGTAGAAGCAATCCGTTAGAAATAAAAGGTATGAAAGAAAGACTTATCTTAACATGAATGAAAGGCCAAATTAATCATGAACCATTTCTGATATAAATAAAAGTCAAAAGAGAATGTTAAATAGCAGTTCTTCATTGTGTAAAAAATTATCAGGTGGATGATAATATTAATGATAATATTTATATTATGGATATTAATCCACAAAGAAATTTATTTTTAAGATACAGTAGTCACATTTACTCAACAGTTTATATGTAGCATATAAATTAAAAAAAAATATATATTTGATTTGTTAATATTTTTATCCTAAATAAACTAATGCTTAGATTATATATAAGAGCTTAAAAGGCACTATTTTTGGATTTGTCTTTCAAATGTTAACATCATTCTGAGAAAAATTATGTTTATTCACATAATTATTATTATTAATACAGTACAAGAAAACAGCAACAACAATAATACTACCATTTTATTTTAAACACACATATCAGAGAATTTAAAGTAGTGTATAATACAATTCTTATATAAACTCTAAATACCTACTATATATAGGCACTAATATATGACACCAACTATGAACAATGCTATTTGTGTACTATATGTACATTCTGAATATGATCTGACTGCATCCCAGATAACACCCACACAGTCTGCTGACCACCTGGCCAACACCCACGGAGTCTGCTGACCACCTGGCCAACACCCACGGAGTCTGCTGACCACCTGGCCAACACCCACGGAGTCTGCTGACCACCTGGCCAACACCCACGGAGTCTGCTGACCACCTGGCCAACACCCACGGAGTCTGCTGACCACCTGGCCAACACCCACGGAGTCTGCTGACCACCTGGCCAACACCCACGGAGTCCGCTGACCACCTGGCCAACACCCACGGAGTCTGCTGACCACCTGGCCAATACCCACGGAGTCCGCTGACCACCTGGCCAACACCCACGGAGTCTGCTGACCACCTGGCCAACACCCACGGAGTCTGCTGACCACCTGGCCAACACCCACAGAGTCCGCTGACCACCTGGCCAACACCCACGGAGTCTGCTGACCACCTGGCCAACACCCACGGAGTCTGCTGACCACCTGGCCAACACCCACGGAGTCCGCTGACCACCTGGCCAACACCCACGGAGTCTGCTGACCACCTGGCCAACACCCACGGAGTCTGCTGACCACCTGGCCAACACCCACGGAGTCCACTGACCACCTGGCCAACACCCACAGAGTCTGCTGACCACCTGGCCAACACCCACGGAGTCTGCTGACCACCTGGCCAACACCCACGGAGTCTGCTGACCACCTGGCCAACACCCACAGAGTCTGCTGACGACCTGGCCAACACCCACGGAGTCTGCTGACCACCTGGCCAACACCCACGGAGTCTGCTGACCACCTGGCCAACACCCACAGAGTCTGCTGACCACCTGGCCAACACACACGGAGTCTGCTGACCACCTGGCCAACACCCACAGAGTCTGCTGACCACCTGGCCAACACCCACGGAGTCTGCTGACCACCTGGCCAACACCCACGGAGTCTGCTGACCACCTGGCCAACACCCACGGAGTCTGCTGACCACCTGGCCAACACCCACAGAGTCTGCTGACCACCTGGCCAACACCCACAGAGTCTGCTGACCACCTGGCCAACACCCACGGAGTCTGCTGACCACCTGGCCAACACCCACGGAGTCTGCTGACCACCTGGGCAACCCCCACGGAGTCTGCTGACCACCTGGGCTACCCCCACGGAGTCTGCTCACCACCTGGGCAACCCCCACGGAGTCTGCTCACCTCCTGGGCAACACACACGGAGTCTGCTGATCACCTGGGCAACACCCACAGAGTCTGTTGACCACCTGGGCAACCCCCACGAAGTCTGCTCATCACCTGGGCAACCCCCACCGAGTCTGCTCACCACCTGGGCAACCCCCACGGAGTCTGCTCACCACCTGGGCAACACACACGGAGTCTGCTGATCACCTGGGCAACACCCACAGAGTCTGTTGACCACCTGGGCAACCCCCACGAAGTCTGCTCATCACCTGGCCAACACCCACTTGGGTGTCAGCTGGAGATGAGTAATATATACTCATCTGTTATATACTACCACTCACATCATACTGTGAGTGGCAGCACTAAG